CTTTAAGACTTGTGGACTTCAGCTCCCTGAATTTCTCCTCCAGTCATCTTAGCTCAGGAATTCTGGGAGTTGAAGTCCACAAGTCTTAAACTTGCCAAGTTTGAAGACCCTTGCTCTAAATCCACAGGGGAGGGCCATCATCATCATAATCATCATCATCAGCAGCCATGTCCCTGGCTCTTCCCCTCCCTCAGTTGAACCCCCCAACCAAAACTCCTGTTTCTTCTCCTTCTCCACTCACTCAGCAATATCGGCAACCAACGGCTTAAGTTCAAAAGCAATCCAAGATGTAGAAGGGCTTCCCTACCCCTTAAATTGTACAGATAAATGAGATGCTAACAGACACAGACTAGTTGGCCAATTTATATTTCTCAACCAGGTCTGCTGTTGTCCTTCAGTCACTACATGGAATAACAGAGTTGGAAGGGACCTTGGGGGTCATCCAGTTCAACCCCCTGCTTGAGCAGGAGAGTCTATTCCAAATATTAGCCTCTACCTAGGATTGAACTCACAGCCTCTTGATTGTGAGGTGAGAGCTTCACCTCTAGGCCACCACACTGGATTAAGATCAAGGACAAGAACCCAGAACAGAAGGACTGAAACACAAAGGAAAGGAGGACTCAGGGAAAGTGTACCGAAAGAGGTTGCAGCTATTTTCCTCCTCCAGCATCTGCTTCAACTTTTCTGCCATTGCTCCTGTCTGCCATCGTCATCTCTACATACCAATATAGGAGCTGATGCAAAATCCCCCTGGAAGCTTCCATACTGAAGCATTCTAGCTATGGGGCTGAATCGGAGGGACTGGATTAAAGACACTCGTCGTGCCCGAGGGAGGAACTTGGTCCCTAGTGACAGTCCAACCCCTTCACCATGATACCCCACTGGCTCTCAACAGCCTCCATTTCCATGAGTAGCCATCAGCCACAAGGTTATGAGAGGGACAATGTCGCCTATTGGTCAAAGCAACTGTCTTTTTATGGCATCTAAGGCTCATTCTCGCCTTGGGTTTTTTTCACGCAGGGAAAACCCACCCCAAGGCAAGGTTGTTGCAACCTCAACGTCTGGAATACTCAATGTCTGAAATCTCAATGTCTGGAATACTCTACCTGACTCTGTGGTTTCTTCCCCAAACCCCAAAAACTTTAACCTTAGACTGTCTACTATTGACCTCACCCCTTTCCTAAGAGGTCTGTAGGGGGCGTGCATAAGCGCACCTACGTGCCTACCGTCCCTGTCCTATTGTTTATTTTTCTTATATGTATCCATTTCATGCATTCATAACTATGTTTATACTTATACCTATTATCTTGTAAGCGATTGACAAATCAAATAAATCAAATAAATAAAAAATTTGGTACAGGCAGCGCAATGTTTGAAGGCCCCTTGAAACACAATATGAGCCCTCCCCTGTGCCACGAGCAAAGATGCCTCACCAGTTAATACAAGAACATGCCACGAGAGGGCGCCTTCAAGCAGGGCGTAAATAACTTTCAAGAGGAAAGGCGGGGGGGGGGGGGGGGGGGGGGGGGGGACTGTGACTTTCCCTGTTAGCTTCCGGAGGTGCTAAGACTGCAATTCCCATAATTCCTGAGGGAAGAACCAGAGTTGAAAGGTTGCCCAGAGGAGAAAGCAATCTCAAAAAAACAAAACCTGTGTACTTTTGTCCTTGTTCACAGGAGGAGAGGCTAATCAGAAATCAAGATCCATTTCACAAAGTAATGCAAGGAGTTAATCTCCCCTTTCTATGTGTGGCTGTTGTATTTCACACACACACACACACAGAGAGAGAGAGAGAGAGAGAGAGAGAGAGAGAGAGAGAGAGAGCAAGAAGTAGAGTCAGTCTCAACATAGACCATTCTGTAACCAAAATGGGGATTATGGAAAGCTTAGGAAAGAATCCCAAGCTTTGTAAAAACAAACAAACATTACTTTAAAAAACATTTAACTCATTTTAATATTTAACCTATAGAGTCCAATAAAGATTGGGCACATTTAACAGCTATGAGGTGTGTGTGTGTGTGTGTGTGTGTGTGTGTGTGTGTGTGTAACACAGAGAAGGAAATAGGTCTAGAAAGAAAGTAACAACAGGAAAGTGAAATATCCCCCATTACTTTCTCTGTTGCTCCAACAAATGAAGAGAATATTCGTAGCTCAGGGTTGAACTGTGGTATCCTTGGGGCTCTCTGAGCGTGGTGGTTTTCTTGCAGATGTTTCATGACCCAACTAGGTAATATCATCAGTGCCAGAAGGGAGTGGGGTTTGCTCTCTATTTGGTAGGAATGGCCACTTGTGGAGGGGGGTTTGTCCTGGGAAGTCAGGGGATTGGGAGTCAATTGTGATTGTCCCCCAATCCTCTGGCTTCACTGGTACACTCGCTCTCCCTAAATGGAGAAGAAAACCTAAACCAGGATAAGATGCAAGAAGAATTAGTTAAAAGTGAGGACAGGAATGCATATTGTGCCCCAAGGGGGAAAAAGTGACCTACGGAGGATCAAAACTCATAGTATCAAAGGTCATTTTGAAGATTAAAAAGACCCAGCACCTTAAAAAATGGAAACCAGTGATTTTAAGAAGAAAAAGTCACTTTCTTTGCCGTTATGCAACTTCATTAGAGAGTGAAATCTTATTCTACCAGATCCCGTTGAGACCGACTTGGCATTAAGTGGATGAAATCTCCATGGCAATTGACATGATGGAAATGGGCAAAAGGCATCATTTGGGACAGATGGTCATTGCAAATGGGGTGTCAAAGGATGCCCAAGCCCCAATTTCAGTCATCAGGGCGATGACATCATTGCACCAAAGGGACACAGTCTCTAATTCAACAGACATTCTTCAATGTTGGACGCTTGTCTCCCCATAATGATTTCACTAAAACAAAAGGTTTTGTGGTCCTGTTAACTTGGCTGTGCAGATAGTCCTCGACTTATGGCCTCGATTTCTGTCGCTGAGCAAGACAGTGAAGTGAATTTTGCCCCAGTTTATGACCTTCCTCGCCACAGTTGTTAAGTGAATCTGGCTTCCCCATTTGACTCTGCTCATCAGAAGGTCATAAAAGCTGGATCACATGATTCCCCCCCCCAAGCTACAGCAACCATCATAAATATGAGTCAAGGGTCTGGGTTTTGATCATGTGACCATGAAGATGCTGCAACATCTCATTAGTGGGGGAAAAAATGGTCCTAAGCCACTTTTTTCAGTGCTGTTTTAACTTTAAACAGTCATTACACAAATGGTTATAAGTCAAGGATTACCTGTACGTTTAAACACCCCTCTGCCTTGAATATTTAACATTAGACCTTCATTTCCCAATGTTGGAAGGTCTCAGAAGGCTGCGGCTCCCTCTGGCGTTGAAAAGCTGCTCTCCAGAACAAGACTTGGGACATGCCCAGGGGTGGGATTCTACCAGTTCGCACCTATTTGCTAGAACCGGTTGTTAACATTCTAAACAGTTCGGAGAACCGGTTGTTAGAAGAAATGACTGGCCTAATCCTGTAAGGAAGGCAGGAAGGAAACATTCTGGTGTTGCTTACAGAAACTGCCTCTCCGATAATCCTTATTACATTCTTGGCAGGACTAGACTTCCTGTCTCAGGAACCTCTCTGGAGTTTTTTTTTTCCCTTCCTTTGCTGGTACTTTGCTTGTGTGGAGCGACCATTCAAAGTTACAATGGCACTGAAAAAAGTGACATGATCATTTTTCACACTCACGACTGTTGCAGCATCCCCACAGTCATGAGAGGCCAGGCGAGGAGATCCGTGCCTCGATGTGAGTGATGTTGAATTGGCCACGCCCAGCCAGTAACATGACCACCAAGCCACGCCCACCAACTAAGCCACACTCATAGAACCGGTTGTTAAAAACTGTGAATCTCACCCCTGGACATGCCCACCGTGACGAGATTGTCTTATCAGGAGAAGGTGAAGTCACTCACCTGGTACCCTTGGAAAAAGCTGAGGATTTCCTTCATTCCGGCATTGTAGGGCAATCCTTGCATCCGGACAAGAGCGCCTGCTTGAGGGACCATAGGAGTGTGGGAAGCTGAGGCGGCTGCCACAGCAGCTTGAGGAGCCGTGATGTAGCCAACTGTGGTTGGAGACACTGGAGGGCTGAAAGAAGAGGAACAGAACATGGCGGTTGAAGGGCTGTTGTTTCCCAGATGTTACCGCATTACTTAGATCAAAAGACTCTCTTCAACAATGTCTTTCAACCTTGGTGGCACCTTTTAAGATGTGTGGATTTCAACTCCCAGAATTCCCCAGCCAGCACTGGTTGGGGAATTCGGGGAGTTAAAATGCACACATCTTAAAGTTACCAAGATTGATAAAACCTCTTATAAAAACATGGGAATTGAATAAATGATTCCAATAGCTACTTGCTTGCAAAGAAGGTTAATTAGATTAGATTAAGATTTACAGAGTTGGAAGGGACCTTCTAGGTCATATATTCTAGTCCAACCCGCTGCCTAAGCAGGAGATCCTACACCATTTCTGACAAGTCTCTTTTGTCCAGTCTCTTCTTGAAAGACTTCAGTGATGAAGCTTCCACAACTTCCGAAGGCAACTTCTGTTCCATTGATTGATTGTTTCTCACTGTCAGGAAATGTCTCCTTCTTTCTAGGTTGAATCAATTGTTCCTTGTCTGGCCTTCAGGTGCTTTGGAAAATAGCTTGAGCTCCTTTTCTCTGTGGCAGCCCCTCAAATACTGCAAGACTGCTCTCCTTTCTCCCCTGGTCCTTCTCTTCACTAGACTAGAAATGCCCAGTTCCTGCAACAGTTCATCAAATGTTTAAGCCTCCAGTCCCCTCATCATCCTGGTTGCTCTTCTCCGCACTCTTTCTAGAGTCTCAACATCTTTTTTATAGTGTCATGACCAAAACTGGATGCAATACTCTAAGTGTGGTCTTACTAAGGCTTTCTAGACTGGTATTATACCTCCCTTGATCTTGATTGGGTGAGTTGAATAGCAGAAGTCATTGCAAATCCATTATCCCAACTTGAGCACCAATCTACTCCTCTAAAGCTGCTCAAGTTAGATCAGCCCAGTACTTCCAGTAATACTAGATAACATGTTTTGGGACCTGAAGTCCACACATCTTAAAATTGCCACCAAAGAGTGAAAAACACTGCTGGGCAGAGATCCTCTTTGGAGCCTCAGACAATTTGCAAATACATGGGTATTTGTTCATACCCATGTATTACTACTATCTTCCAGTGAAACATATATGTCCAACATAGATGCTACCTGATGGGCAGACTTCAACTCCCAGAATTCTCAGCAAACTCTCTAGTGGCCTAGAATTCTGGGTGTCCAAAATCCACAAGCCCGGTGCAATTTGGCAACTTCCTACTCCGTCCACAAACCCTTTTGTGACTAATTGATTCTGCCGTGGTGCTCACAAGCAGGCAACACTATGATGTTTACAAAGTTTGGGAATTGCAGTCAACATAATCTGAGGGCATCGGGCTGGGGTTAGTTGGGCTCACCTTTGCAAGAATGGCCTCACACACATTTCTAGTTCTAGCATTTGCTACTAAAACAGACCTTGGATATTATTTTCTTTGACACGTCGGTCAACCAATTTTACTAAATTTTGTACCTCTGCTTGTTTTGTTTTTTAAAAAAATCTTTTTGTGATACTGAAAGCACTAGTTCCCTTCTTAACCTTGCAATAAACCCTGTCAGCTCACTTTCTGCCCTTTGAAGGACAAAACAGGAATGCACAAAAATAAATTATGTCCCGGGGCTATGTAGCAGCTAGAATTTGAAGGTGAAAAAGAGAATGCAAGGACAAACGTGTAGCAGTGGCTTGCAAACTCCGTAAATTTAATGCAACTTCTCCTCCACCGTGCACCAGGTCATGGAATCCTGGGGGAAAAAACCAGCTGAATAACCCTTCTCTGTCCCAACAGACTTGGTGGTGGAAGAAAAGTTTGGGAAGGCCTAGAATTGGGCCAAGGTAACTGTTGAGGACACATAAGTATTCTTCAACAAATATGGGGCTGGAATTTTGTCCAGCTCCAGATCTTCAGACAATCTTTATTAGCTTTTGCATTTATTTACAAGTTTGTTACCTGTCCAAAGTCCAAAGATAAAAGCAAGCAAGAGGATTCAAACTCCTGCACATGGGCCATGTTGGCTGCCATACAGAGGATCGGGGCTTCAATATTGCGTAGAAAACGAAAACTGGCCAAAATGGCCAAACATTAGCTGAATTTCAAGCAGAGAACAAGGGCTCCATTACTGGAAGCTTTGAAGAAGATGCTAGATAACTACTTGTCAGAAATCATATAGGGTCTCCTGCTTGAGCAGGGGGCTAGACTAGAAGACCTCCAAGGTCCCTTCCAACTCTGTTATTCTGTTAATAATCCATGATACTGAAGACCCGGCTTCAAATTGATGTGGCATTTTGTCTTTAATTGAGGCCCTTACGTTCTTCAGAGGTAGAACTTCATCCCACCTGGACCTTGAATCAACAGTATCAGTTCTCTTCATTCCTTGAGATCTTAAATGTTAAGCATCTTACAAATGCATTTCAAGAACTGCAAGGACTAGAAACTTAAAAAAACCCAATGGCACTTGAAACTTGAAATGAGTTGCAAAGCTTTGGTCCCAAAACGTAGCAGAAAAGTAATGCGCCAACATTCAATAGTACCTGGGATAGTAAGCAGTGTAATTCATGTAAAGTTGAGCTGCCTGAGTGGGGTAGTAAGTGACAGCTGGAGTGACAGCTGCTGCAGCCGCTGCAGCTGCGGCTGCAGCTTGTTGAGTCCTGGTTGGAGGCAAGAGGGCTTGTGATGGGTATATTGCAGCTTCTGCTGGGATGACCGCGGTGGCTGCTGTCTGAAAAGCAGCGTAGGCGGGAGGAGAAAGGCCTGAAGAAATGGGAAGATAAAGCAAACCAGGGAGCAAGTCAGCCACAGAGATTCTGCTGGGCAACTGCTGTTGACTTTGGGAAAAAAAAATAGATGAGCAAGGGGTTTGGGGACGCCTATCAGCTAGAAGGGAAAAGCAACAGTTCCCACAAAGCGCCTTGGTCTGCTTAGTGTATTCCGAGTCATCGTTTTAAGGCTTTCCAAGGTTTCGCTTCTGGGCTCAAACGTGTCTCGCTGGAATGGCAAGGCAAGCATCCGAAGGCCCTAACTGTACCAATTTCAAAACAGAGGATTATAATCTCTTCTGTATCAGAAAGCAGCAACGATCTGTCTTCCTGCAGTGTTACTCTGAGCTTTAAGCTGACCCTAAAACAAGATGTAGACTGGCAGAATTTCTTCCTTTCCTTCCTTTCCCTTCTCTTTCCTTCCTTTCCTCCTTTCCTTTCCTTTCCTCCTTCCCCTTCCCTTCCTTCCCCTTCCTTTCCCTTTCCCTTTCCTTCCTTTCCTCCTTTCCCTTCTCTTCCCTTCCTTTCCCTTTCCTTTCCCTTTCCTTTCCCTTCTCTTTCCTTCCTTTCCTCCTTTCCTTTCCTTTCCTTTCCTTTCCTCCTTCCCTTCCTTCCCCTTCCTTTCCCTTTCCTCCCTTTCCTCCTTTCCTTTCCTTTTTCCTTCCCTCCCCTCTCCTCTCCCTTTTTTTCCTTTTCTTTTCTTTCCTTTCCCTCCATCAAAAGAGCCAAGTCACAAATTGTCATTCAACACAACCAGAGATACTGTTTACAACAGGCTCTGTAAACCCAACGGATTTCATCATTCCTTCTTGGTTTTTGTTAGAACTCCTGTCCCCCTAGAGACTCTCTGTCTTCAATAACAACAGGCAGCCTCTGTAGATTAAGTCTTCCCTGGGTTAAAATAACATTAATCTCAGGGCAGGACAAAGCAGAAAGGCTTCCAAAGGCAGCTACTGAAATTCGGCAAAAGGTGACATTTATTTATAGTGGATTTAAAGCCAATTAGATCCTGATCAGTTTATTAGCACTAGGAAAACTGCAGCCCAGAATGCCTCTTGGTTCTTAGAAGAAAGAAAACAATAAATGAGAAACTTTAGGAATTGCAGTTTTAACATATTGCAGGGACCTGGCTATATACTACCTATATATATAGGTAGTCCTCCTCTTACAACCAGAATTGGGACCAGAATGTCCATTGCTAAACAAAGTGGTTGTTGAACGAGTTGTGGCTAATTTTACAACCTCTTTTTGCCACAGTTGTTAAGCAAATCATTGCTGTTGTTTAAGTGAATCACATGGATGTTAAATAAATCTGGCTTTCCCCATTGCTGTTTGGAAGCCATCTGGGAATGTCACCATGCTGGATGCCAAGAGCCCCAAATTTTGATCAGATGCTATGATGTAAGTCGAGAACCACCGGTCATGTTTTATTTACTTCTTAAATTTATATGCCGATCCATCTCACCCATAAGGCAATCGTAGCACTTGTACTTTATGCTTTAAAAAAGGAAAACTAATAAAAGATATCCTTCCCCTTTAGCACCTCTTGTAGTTTTGTTTTAAATGACCTTATATTTCCCCTCTTTTTTCCTTAAGTAGCAGATTTTTCAACTAAAAACCCTTCTTTGAAGGCATAAAATCTGTCAGACTGTTAACAAGATTTTAGGCTTGTTGCTGGGTGCTTGAAAAATGTGCATAATCCTAACTCTAATCCTATTATTTAGAATTTACGAAAACAATGTGAATGTCTAGACCTCTTTAATCATAGTGGATGGCCAAAATAATGATTCCATCCCAACGGAAAGATAAAATCATACTTGATTTGCAACCCTGAATGGATAATACCTCTGATATACCAGCATTTGTAGGTCTGTTTTGGCAGAAAAGGTGGCTTGCAAGCAATTTAGTGTAAATTTTCAGGACAGATCTGCAATTTTCCAGGCCACTTTTTAAAAAACATTTTCTATTCTTTTAATATCAACACCCCATTGTTAGTATTACCAATGATATCCTCTGTTGTTGTTGCTGTTTTGGTTTGATACCCCCCCAAAAAAACCTCTCAACACTGTGATTCTAGCAACACACCACAAGTTAACTGGATGCAAAACATTGGCCCACGCTGACACCTTCCTACTGTGGGCAGCTTCCAGAAAAGCGCCTGCCAATCACCTCTCATTTTTGCCCAGCTTGCAATCCCAGAAAGCGGATTCCTGATCAGAGGTGATCCCAAAAGAAACGGGCCCCATTCTGCTGTCCATCAGCACCTACCAGCGGGGGAGTTGAGAGCAGCACAGAGCAGGCGAAGGATTCCAGACTTACATGGTAACTTACAAGGGGGCGGAGACAATCCACTACGGTTTAAAGTGCCACCCATTAAAACAAAATTCATCTCCTCTCCTGAACACTGGAAGACTTCCACGTAACGGTCCTTCATCATTTTCTTGTGACACTTCTGGGCCACTAAGAAGGCTCGGTCGGAAGATTTCATCTGGATAAAGGCATCACCTGAGGGCCGGCCCTGGAAGGAAGGAAGGAGGAAAGGAAGGAAAGAGGAAAAGAAGGAAGGAAGGAAGGAGGAAAGGAAGGAAGAAAGGAGGAAAGGAAGGAGAAAGGGAAGGAAGGAGAAAAGGAAAGAAGGAAGGAAAGAAAAAGAAAGAAAGAAAAATATTGGTTAGTGACCTTGTGAAGTAGAAAGGAACAAACCTGCATTCAGCATTTCACACTGCATTGTGTCTAGCTTGTGTCTTGCGTAGTAGATTTCCTGACATTGGGTACCATATGCTAAATAAACAACTTGTGCTGCTGTGTTTGTTTCGGCGAGACTTTGGTGGGATATAATAATCATTGTAATAAAATACAAATACCTTCAAACAGAAGTAGAACGACGGTGGTCAAAGAAAGCAAAGGTAGTACCAATAGTAATAGACTCCATGGGCACAATCTGGGCACAATGTCTTCAAAGAAAAACCAGAAACTCTTAGAAAAGCACCTTTGGGACAACCATGACCTGGATGATGGAGAGTCTCCTCCATAGACATATCTGGAGCACCACTCGAACACCATCAGCATTGACAAAAATCACCTTCGGTCAATTGCAAAAGGCAGCTTTGCTTGGAACAGCTGACATCCTATGATGATATCTCTAATACCATCAAACATCCACATCTGCCTTTCAGGTCCTCGAGAAGGTCTCAATAGATGGATAACAATGCCAAATCCAGTCTAAACAGCTGGCTCGCTGTGGGACCAACCATAATAATGTTCCACAGTTGGCTTGCATAGTTGTCCATTGTTTCATTGGCTATGGGTTTAGGTTTTTGTTATTTGTGTTTTTGCATTTAAAAAAAGAATCACAAAAATATTCCCTTTGCTTTTCTTTTGCAGCATAAAGTAAGCTGGTTCTTTTCATTTGTATTCATGTTTATTCTGGACTAACTCCAAGTCTCTATCTTTTAATTTCATTCTGGGAAGCTTGGCAAACTCTGTATCGTTTTCAGCTAATCTTATTACACAAGCTAAGATGGATACTGCTGACATTCTACTAGTTTTCCTTCTTCTTTTTGCAAACAAAGAAATACCATGTGCTTTCCCAGACATTTTCATCAGATATCCAAGACTGATTATTGGCAGGATTAAATCTGAATATTCCACATTTCCTTAGAGAACCAAATTATCAGACAGAATTAACAAGGTTTAAACTCCTAATTCAAAAGTACTCTATAAGCAGATGAACTTTATGGAACTCTGCTTGCAAATACAACTAGGCTGATCAGAATGGCAAAATAATTATTCAACAATGTGTTTTGTGTTTTGACATCCAATAGCAAATGACGGCATCACTAAACCTACCAAGATATCTTGTCCTCAAGCGGTCAGTTCAAAAAAAAATGTTGGGAGGGGATTTCTAATCAGATGTAGAAAGTGGAAAATTGCAACCTTGGATCAAGAAGAGAAATCTTTAGGAAAAAGACTGGAATCTGTGAAGCAGAAAGGTGTGAGAAGATCGCAATCCCTGGAGATTTTTAGCAAGTTGCAGCACGATCTTTAGTCATGCAATTCCTAGCAGATGGAGAAATTCTAGCAGGTTGTTGCTGGCTTCAAACGGGCATAACTGCTTTCTTGAAATGCTGGGTGACAGCAGTTGCTTTCAACTCCCATGGCTCCCAGCCCTGTTAACTATCAATGTTTCTTTGAGTCCTTCCTTTCTCCCTCCTAATGAAAAATATGGGCCAATTGTCCAACTGCCTAAGGTAGGACTTTTCAAAAAAAATATTAGCCCAATTTTAACTGTTTCAAGGTGGCAAGACCAATGTGCCAATGATTCATGGTGCTTAAGACTCCATGTCCTATGTTGTTATTATTTTAACACAGAATAAAGGGGCGCTATGTCTATGGAGATTCCCAATCTTCTTTCATGGTTGCCCCAAAGGCTACTGGCTTTTCTTGGTTTTCACTTTGAGATCATTTTGCTTCTCAAAAGAGAAGCAGAACTGAAGACATTTCTAGAATGGGAAGTGGAACATTTTCAGGTTAAAAACTAAGGAAGTCCAGTTGCCTTTATGAAAAGAACTTTTGGGATAAATGAATGCTATGTGTTTCAAGAAACCTTCCAGATCTCATAAACACCCCAAACACATTTTTAGGGTGGGGTGGGGTGAAGCAATTATGGATCACTTCCTTGGAAGTAGGTCCACCTATCCAGAAAAGGGACAAAAGGAAGCTGAGGATGGTAGAGAGGTTCCAATAAGACTCTTGTAGGGATGGAAGAAAACCCCAATCATGACCACCTTCTGGTTTATGGTTGCTCCATTCTACCCCTAGGACAACCCCTCTGTGAGATACCCACAACAGGTGCTGAACATTTGCACGGGGAGCCAATGGCTCCAAAAAGCTTGAGGACATTACAACACTTTCATACTTGCTGGTTCAGGACCATGTGAACTCCATGCGGTTTGATGTCTCCGGTTGCATCGCCCATGAACTCCAAAATGTCATCAATCCCAGCTGTGTAAGGCAGGCCCCGGAGGCGGACACAGTCTCGCACACTGCCTGCAGCGATGGTGTAAGGAGGAGGGATGACAGGGACGATCGGGGTAGGAAGAGTGGCAATCAGCGGGGCTGACATGTATCGGTTGAGAACCTGGGGGAAGGAGAAAGTTTACCGAGAGTGAGAACAGCTCTTTAGATATAGCAATAGCCCTTAGAGTTGTATACCACTTCACAGTGCTTTACAGCCCTCTCTAAGTGGTTTACAGAGTCAGCCTATTGCCCCCAACAATCTGCGTCCTCATTTTACCCATTTCAGAAGGATGGAAGGCTGACTCGACTTTGAGTCAATCAGGATTGAACTGTTGGTAGTGGGCAGAGTCAGCCTGCAATACTGACTGGATGGATGGATAGAAGGAAGGAAGGAAGGAAGGGAGGGAGGGAGGAAGGAAGGAAAGAAGGAAGGGAGGAAGGAAGAGCAATAGCAATGCACTTAGACTTATATACCACTTCACAGTGCTTTACGACCCTCTCTAAGTGGTTTATAGAATCAGCCTATTGCCCCCAACAATCTAGGCCCTCATTTTACCCACCTCAGAAGGATGGAAAGGCTGAGTCAACCTTGAACCTAGTGAGATTCGAACTGCCAAATTGCAGGCAACTGGTAGTCAGCAGAAGTAGCCTGCAGTATTGCACTCTAACCACTGTGCCATCGCGGCTCCTATGGACTAGGAAGAGTGAAAGCCTCTAGAGGTAGTCCTCAGCTTATGACCACAACTGACCCCCAAATTTCCATAGCCCAACAGGACCATTGTTAGGTCAGTTTTCTTTTGTTAATTTTGTCCTGTTTTATGACCTTTCTTCCACCATTGTTAAGTGAATCACTGCAGTTAGCTAACACTGAGTGAATCTGGCTTCCTCCTTGACTTTGTTCATCAGAAAGTCGCAAAAAGTGATCACATGACCCCAGGACACTGCAATTGTCATAAATACATGCCAGTTGCCAAGCATCCTAATTTTGATCATGTGATCATGGGGGATGCTCTCAACGGTCATGTGAAAAGCGGTCCTAAGTCACTTTTTCAGTGTCGCTGTAACTTCAAAAGGTCATTAAACGAAGGGCTGTAAATTGAGGGCTACCTATGTTAACATGTGACAGAATCGCTCGTATTTGAGAAGCCTTCTCCAACCTTTCATCTTCAATTAAACTTCTACTTGATTAATTGACTTAATCAAGGTGGCAATTCTAACTCAGCACTTACGTCGAAATTTTGCTTTTATGGGCACCTATGGCTTGTGCGTGTGAATGCAAGGTTTCCACCCAAATTCACACGACTTACTATATAGAATTAATGTCCTGTCATTTTGGGGCAAGCTGTTCTCTTTTCTACTTGGAAGATACCAGGGTGAACACATCCTTTACCAATATGCACCTCTCTCCCTCCTTTCTCAAATTTCCCATTAATCATCTTCAAAAATTTTAGCAATGGGTTCTCTGCCTGGTTGTTGGGTGGGTGTGGCCATGATGGGCATGATCTAGTTGGCCTCCTGCACCATGGCGGGGGGACATTTTTGCTCTCCCCGGGCTCCGAAGGCTCTCAGGAAGTCGGAAACGGGCCCATTTCCGGCCTTTCTGAATTTCCGGGAGGCCTGTTTTTTACCCTCCCCGAGCCCTGCACTTACCTGCAGCCAAAGCAGGTCTCGTGGGACTCCTGGGAGGGGCGGAGTGGGGTGGGTGGGGCCAGCCAGGAGTGGGATTTGGGGGTTCTTCTCAACTGCGCAGAATCTTAGCTAGGGGCTCTCCCGAACCCCCAGCAGCCCACACCCCTGAGTTCGTTTCCCTTTTACCATTTTCTAACAAATCAAGGTATCAAAGTACACCCTGAATTCGGCTAATGAATTCAGCCCTTCCCCAACGTATCCACCATAGCAAGCCAGTTCAGGGCAACTGGGATAAACTGGTCCAGCCGAAACAAATTGTGGCTTAATGGCTAATCCAGACACCCGGCTTAAAAACTGCAGCGCACGCAAGGTGAAAAGGTTCCCTCTGATCTTTGCTTCATTAAGCTGAACTGGTTCTGTAATTGTTTAATTGCTGAAGAAGGAAGCAGATCAGCTTCCCTCAGCAAAATGCTTCCAGATGGGCTAGCCGTCTGGCCTACATTGAATTCTTAACCCAGAGGTGAGAGAGAGAAGAGCTTTAAACACTGATTAACCCTGGTAGAGAATTCCTTGTTAGGTGCTGGGCAGGAATGATCAAAATAAAACACGGGGCTGAATCCTGCGCTACTTCTCACAGATGGATCATTAAGGCAGGGGCAGGAAAGCATAGCATAGCATAGCATAGCATTAGCATAGCATAGAATGTAGAGGAGAAAGTGGAAATAGAAGTAGAAACCAGGAATTTAAAAGATATGTATTTGATGAATGGAGTAGTTAAATTAAGAATGTTTACCAAATAAGAAATGAATAGTAGTAAAATCATTACCAAGAAAAAAGCACACCATCTTAGTTGATTAGAAACGTATGTTTTATATGTTTTATATGTTTATTTATTTTGTATTTGTATATACAGATTTTGTCTACAACATTAAGACACACTGTACATAGTGTTTTTCTTTTTTAATCGCTAATAAAGTTTTTCTAAAATAAAAGAAATAGAAATAGCACAGCATAGCATAGCATAGAATGTAGAGGAGAAAATAGAAATAGAATAGAATAGAATTCTTTATTGGCCCAGTGTGATTAGACAAAGAAGGAATTTGTCTTAGTGCATATGCTCCCATTGTACATAAAAGTGTAAGGAATTGTACCACTCAATTATTTTTTGGCAGATTTCTCCCCCTACCCCTAACTACATAATCCTTGTATCCAGTGTTAAAGAGGGAGGGGTGTATATCTTGCCAGGATAATGCAAGCTGAAGCTATGAAAAAAATTGGGCCTCCTTCCTCCTCTCTTGCCCCCTACCCCAGCAACCCCCCCAAACATGGTTCATATCTCTCATTGGAGCACTTTATTTCCGGATTAATAGGGAGTGAGGCTTGCATCAGCTTGCATTGTCCTTTTGGAGGGGCTGAGGACTTGCAACATTCTGGGAAGGACAAAATATGTAGGGTTTCATTGTTCAAGTGGGCCTGGTTGATTGATTTTGTGTGTGTGTGTGTGTGTGTGTGTGTGTGTGTGTGTGTCTTTCTCTCTCTCTCTCTCTTTGTATCTGTGTGTATTCTTTTGTTTTGTAGCTGCTGGGCTTATTATTGGGCTCAGCCTAAGTCTGTCATCTCTTTTTCATATTAAAATGGCAGGATGTCTGTGGTCAGAAATTCTCCTGAACAGCAAAATGGGAGAATATAAATTTAATAAACAAACAAGCCTCTGTAGATTGCAAAGTCTCACCCTAAGACTCTTGGGTCAGTTTAATGAGTGACCCACAGCTAAAAAAATTTCATGCCTGGACATTAAGGCAAGCCCATGCAAATATGGTCATTCCTTAAAGCCCCTTCCTTTGCTCTTGCTTCAAGCGGATCCAGAAACGTCTCCGTCTGTATCAACAGATTAATCCCTTTCGTGGCACAAAGAAAAGCCTCCATCTGGCTAAAGAAATAAGCTCAGAGAAATCACACAATCACAAACTCCCGGCTTTTCAAATCTCACTGGTAACATTTCTAGCAAGTCCCTCTTGGGCTCTGCCCAACAGACAACCCCCAGAGAGAAGTAACCAGAGACCAGCCAGCTGTAGAGCCACTATTGTCCTAAAGTTGATTATAGACCACCTGGTCAATCTTCCTTCAGTCTAGAAGGGCTGTTGCCCCAAGGAACCAACCAGAGTTTAAGATGGTGCCAAGGGATCCTTGCTTGTGTTTTCGTTGGAACAGGTGAAGACAACTGCCTCTCTGGAATTCAACCTTGATTGTTCTCTCTTCTCTTCCGAGAAGACTAATTTGCTAGTCTATAAACGGGGAAGGGTCCCTAATTGGCCCTCTCTGGGTTGATTACATTCCCTATTTGGAATCAACACAATGAAATCAAATGATTTCCTCTACTTGAAGCGTTTTGCAAAAAAGCACAACCAGAAAGACAAATCCTAACAAAATAGTCAGGTCGCACATTATCTTGCTAAACCTGTGTGCATGGATTACTGCAATGAGTGGATCTAGCACTTCTGGCTTGGAAACTATATTTGAGGACTTAGTGAAGACATCACAAGGAATTCCTCCTGGTGATATGAAGGGGAAAGGTTTTTGCTCTTAATAAACTGGGGCAGAATTTTTCCCTGTGGAGAGTACGGAAGATGACCTTGCTAAAAATATGTAGGAACTACATTAAGTAGTCAAAAGAGATTATACTGTATGATAGTTTTAATCAGGATGCATACTATGATGTAAAAAAAAGGGACTTGATATAACCAGTACACACTGACCTAGTAAAATTGGAACTGTGATGAATATTAATGAAAAAGGCACAATAAAAATATTTTTTAAAAAATGTAGGAACTATTACCAAAGCAAAAGGGATGGAACATTTTTTTAAATCTGGAATTGAGATAATGTTCAGAAATAGCTCAGGCAGCCATCTTCCTGTCACTGAATTATAAATAGGTGGACAAGGAGGTACAATATAATCAGACATACCGGATTCTCTTATTATAGCTAATCTCAATAAAAGGAGTTTTCCCGTGGAGCTGATTTCATGGCCTGGTCTTCCAAGTGGGGCTGACTTCCCCTCTGGAGAAGTTAAGAAAAATCATCCAACTCATTTTGTTGCCCTGAACATCAGTGGATAACTTCCAAAGATTGTTTGTGTCGTATTCTAGGATTAAATGACTCTCATTGCTCCTGGATCTCTGCACCAGTTGCCCGTGGCTCTTATCCCCAAGGTGGCCCAATGGGGAACCAAAAAAAAGGTGAAACAGACCCAAATGCCCATAATACAACATCTGCTACAACCTGCTGGACTTCAGCTGCTGTGCTTCTGAAGAGTTCAATGTAGCGTTTGCCCAAGATCTCCTTGTGTTTCTTCAGGGCATTCTGTGCATAGTCTTCACAAGCAAATAGCACAAACGCATCTCCAGTTGGCCGGCCATCTGGATACTTGACAAAGAGGAGGCCCTCCTTGCCTCCAGTGACAGGACACTCGGGGCCCAAGAAGCCGAGCACATCCTCGGGCGTTGCAGTGAAAGGGAGACCCCGCATCCTGATGATGACTTGGTTCTCCTTGGAGAGGAACTGGGCTACTTCATTGGAGGTGCCTAGGCAGAAGAGGTGATCATTAAGGACAGGAAAGGGTAGGCCTTATACTTAACCCTCAGAGAGAAACCATTGTAAATTTAAATTTGAAATTGAGAGCTCATTCTAGTTCTAGGTTTTGGTATAACGATGAAAGTGCTGGACGAGGAAATGAGTGGCTGTGAGTTCTAGTCCCTCCCCGAGGCACAGAAGCTGGCTGTGTGACTTTGGACTGGTCCTCACAGCCCAATCCATCTCCAAGGTTGTTGTTGTGGGGTTATTAGAATCAGTGAGCAAAACGTGTGCTATTACGGGTTGTACAAGACAAGATATAATCTAATAAATGAATAAACAATGCACCCAACTGTGGTTAGCTTGCAAAATTGAATCAGTTTTCTGGGTGCACATGCCAGACAGAAATTAAACACAGAATCTGAATTTGTACAGCATAGTAAGCTAAGGTACAGTTACCTAGTTTGTTATGTCATGCCAACAAAGACATTATCAAACATTTGGTCTCCTGGTCCTGGTCTGTTTGGAACAACTTTCTACATCTCTGAATCAGTTAAAAACTCCTAACTATTTACAGCTAAAATTATGAGACTTATATATCATCCCCACCCCAAATCTGGTAATGTTCATATTGAGTAACCAAAAATAAATTTTGATACATCAGATTTTATATTATTTCTCATAGCCACTTAAAAGTACCTTCTCACAGTACAGTTTCAATCACGTGCTTAATAGTTTGTTTTCCTAAAGATCTTACCACCAGCAATTTTCAGAAATTCCTCTCCTGTGGCTTTGTAAACCTGAAACAAAAAAGGGGCAAAGACAACAATTGTGATAGATGTCAAGATATTTGATGAGTGATATGAGCATAATATACACACTTGTTTTTAAAATGACACAAGATGCTCTTTATAAACCTAGTTATTTGCAAAACCATTTTAAGACATAGTATTTGGGAAGACCATGGGATACTTCTCCTGTAGACCACATCAATCTAGCTTTCCAGAAGTGGTCTGGGATACCACCTGGAACCAGCAGATCAGTGCTCCACAAGGCAAATAGAACGTCAGGAGATCTGAACATTTATTCTGTAGATTTGGAAGTACTCATAACAGTACATTTAATTAATCTTTAAAACACTCATACACCACCACAAGAGGAATCTACGCTACACTTCTATTGAGTTTCCAAGTGTAGTTTAAGTTATCACCATAAAGCCCTGTATGGACAAGGGCCAAATTATTTGTGGGATCACTCTGACTGTTTCTCCTTGACCCACCAGAACGGACAGGATGGTCAAGGTCTATGTCCCTTCAATGCAATCTTATTGGCACTAGAGACCAGTATACAAAGTGAAGGTAGCTGGAGTTTGGATGGCCTTCATCCAGGGGTAGGATCCGACAGGGTTAACTAACGGTTGGATGATTTATGGTTCGGTGATTTATGATGTCGCACCTGTAAATCGTCATCAGCCTGATGCCTGGACAGCTGAGCAGCGCTGCGTGCCAAGAAGCAGCCTTTGAAAAAGTACTTTTTTCCTGCTTTTTAAACTGCAGCTGTGCCTCGCTCGGCAGCTGAGGTTGAAAAAGCAAGAAATAAAGGTCAGGTAAGAGCCCGGGCAGGTGGGTGGGCAAAAACATCAGCAGACATAGAACCGGTTCTATGTCTGCTGCTCTTCAGAGCTACCGGTTCTACAGAGGTGGACAGAACAGGTAGAAACCCACCCCTGCCTTCATCCATCCAACTGGTCATGATAAAGACTTTGTTGTTCCCTCATGCTTTTGGGCTGGGATGATAGCGTAGCCCTCTTAGTTGGTTCGTCTTTTCCTTTGTGATTATTATTGATCGTAAGATGGAATGATCTATTTGGCCTCTTGGCACAAGATACATTGATTTTTTTTTATCGTAATCTCAGTCTTGATTCATTGTCAACTGTTCAGGAAGATGGTGGTGAGATGGTTAGCCATGTAAATTATTTAAATATAGGAAACAAGTAAATGACTGTTACATGAGCCGCGGTGGTGCAGTGGTTAGAGTGCAGTACTGCAGGCTACTTCTACTGGCTGCCTGCAGTTCGAATCTCACCAGGCTCCAGGTTGACTCAGCCTTCCATCCTTCCAAGGTGGGTCAAATGAGGACCCAGATTGTTGGGAGCAAGAGGCTGACTTTGTAAACTGCTTAGAGAGGGCTATAAAGCGGTATATAAATCTATTGCTATTGCTACATCCTCTTTGCACACCTCCAATATATCACATCTAGTTCTTTATTTATAATTAATCAATTATAGCTAAGTAAGCTACCTCAATATATCGGCTCCCCATGTGATGCTTGTGCCTCTCCAGAGCCAAGTCTCTCTGTTCAGAGCTGACAAACCGCACCAACGCCTCTCCATTTCGCCTTCCTTGAGCATTGAGACACAAGGCCACACCACCTCTAAAAGAAAGGGGAAACATAGACACCCCCAGAGAGAATGAACCACACCACATCCAGTTTTCTTCCAAAGTGACATCAATTTTTAAAGATCTGGATAAGCTTATTGAGGCAACTGAGCTTTGGATGATAAGATTTCAATCCTGCTCTAAAGCCACATACAATAACAATGCAATCAAAATAATAAAACTGTATGTCTTATAAATCAGTGGGATGCACTCTCAAATCACTAGGAAGAGCTGTCAGAATGCAAAGTAAAACTACTCCCATCTCGTTGAAAGAGGAGGCAATGAATGCGAGAGTCGGGAAGATAAGGATTAAATTATAGTGAGATTCTCTCCGCTCCAGATGTTCCATTTCAAGTATCTGGTGAGGAAATAGAGCTTCTCTAACTATGTAAAAAGGGACATGGTGGCTCAGCGGCTAAAACGCTGAGCTTGTTGATCAGAAAAGTCGGCAGTTCGAATCCCTAGTGCCGTGTAACGGAGTGAGCTCCCATTACTTGCCCCAGCTTCTGCCAACCTGGCAGTTCGAAAGCATGTAAAAATGCAAGTAGAAAAATAGGGACCCCTTTGGTGGGAAGGGAACAGTGTTCAGTGTGCCTTTGGCATTTAAACATGCCGGCCACATGACCATGGAGACGTCTTCGGACAGTGCTGGCTCTTTGGCTTTGTAACGGAGAGGAGTACCGCCCCCTAGAGCTGGAAACGACTAGCACATATGTGCGAGCGGAACCTTTACCTTTAACTTTGTAAAAGCTAAAATTTGCTCTTTTACTATGTTGGGACCATCATGAGTGTGTGAGAGTGTGGAGGGACAGGACAAAGAATTGGAACTTCCAGAAGCCTATAAAAAGTAATCACAATCGAACTGATGAACAAGATCACAGCTTTGTGTTGGCTGAATTAGAATGAACCAAAAAGAACTTGAAACGTTGTAAAAAAAGCCTTTGAACTCTTCAGGACATCGAATTATAAAATGTGGAGGTGACAAAGCACTGAGAAAGTACAAAACATGAGCCAGATTGTTAAAGCACAAGGACCTTATCGGCAGCTTGAAATCAGTCCCAAAACGGAATTTGTGGGCTGAATGTAGAGTCAGTTCGTTCTGCTGCTTTCTGATTGTACCTAATCTAGAAGAGATTGTTCCTTCCAGATTCTGAAGAAACAACGAACATTGCCCTCTCCATCTTGACTCCACAGAAAGCTGAACATAATAACATTCTGGTCTTAATAGCGATGGCTCTAGATAAAGACAACATCCAGCAATTGTTCATGTTTTTCAGGAGGTTGTGGTCCACACTGACTTCTCAGGGTGGCCAAATTTTAAGTATAAACATCTCATCCCGAATCCTTTATAGCTAAGACTATCAAGGCAGAAGACAAGCAACAGAAAAGTAAAATGGATATCCATCTGGAAACAGCACTGACCCATCCTTCTTCCTTGTCCCAAAGTGTTTATTTTTTCAAAAGGCAACTAGACTCTTTTGGTGTTTTCTTTGAAAGCATTTTGCTCCTCACCCAAGAAGCTTCTTTAGTTCTTCTTGGATAAGAAGTGAACAGTTTTTTAATGGAAACACCAAGAAAGCCCAGTTGCCTTTTGGAAAAACAACACCTTTGGGACCACCATGACCTGGATGATTGAGAAGTTCCATAGACAACTTTCTTACTTGGCAATATTAAGGCCTTTGAAAAAACGAGCTATGTCTTGGTCCGAAGACTGCCAAGGGAGCCCTCGGGCACGTATGACCGTTTCATTGTCCACTGCTTCTGATTTACTACTACAAAAAGAAAGAGAGGACAATACAAATCAGCAATTAATCTGACACAATTCTTTATTACCATACCACAGGCAATCCTCAACTTACATCCACAATTGGGATCAGGATTTCCATCAGTAAGCAAGGCAGTTGTGAAATGAGCCATATCCAGTTTTATGAGCTTTTTTTTTTTTTTTTTTGCCACGGTTAAGCAAATGCTTGCAATTAAGTGAATCCGGCTTCCTTCATTGACTTTGCTTGTCAGAAGCCAACTGGGAAGGTCACAAATTGGGATCACATAATTCCAGGTTGCTTTGAAAGTTATAAATACGAGGACTGGTCATAAGTCACTTTTTAAGTGTCCTTGTAACTCCGAATGAACGTAGGATTGTAAATCGAGGACTACCTGTTTACTGTAACTGCATCGTAACACAAACTGTAAAATTGTAAAACTACATTGTAACACAGAGACAATTGTTTCCCTCTGTTCTGACCAAGGCTTCCTGAGACAGTAACAATCACAAGCTGCTCCCAAAGACCTTGTTTTTATTTCAACAGCTGTGAATTATATGCATTCACAGCCCGTAATGAGTCCCAAACAGTTGATGAATAGTCCAGCAGAAGTCTGCCACAGTCTTTCGGGATGAGGCTGATAAGCACCCACCTTTATCTCCCTTGAAATGCTGCCAATGATTAAATTGCCAATTAGCTGTACAAGGCCAAGCAGAGCACAAAGTCAACATGGAGCTTCAGATTTTAAACCAACCAGAATGAACAAAGTTGCTTCCTGCAAAGGTTCCTGTCCCTTTGCTCCTCCTTTATGTCTTATGGGAGGGGCCAATAATCTCCAAGCCTTACTCCTGAGTCACTCCTTTTGTCTTAACTGTTCTTGCCTTCTGGCAGCTCTGCGCAAGGGCGCACCGGAAACAGGTTCCCCTTGTTCCTCTGCCTCGCTGCTGCCAGATTCTGGAGGCTCCAGAGCCAGCACATAACTTTCAGATGGCCCTGGCCCCATGTCTGTGTCGGATGCAGATCCCTCATCTGAGCCCTCCCCAGACTCCAAGACTGGCCCATGTTCTTCCCCACTGTCCGACTCTGCTGCCAGCTCTGCAGGCAGCTGGTGGACCACAAGATCCTCATGACATCACTCTGCTGAACACCCAATTCCCACATTACTGTCAACATTAAAAATAAACTGAGAAAATATGAACTCCTGTACGTGCACGGCCTATATATACTGCAATAATATTCACAGATTATAGCAGAAACCAATCCAAAATTGTGGGAGAAAACCTTTAGCCCAATGTGTTGTATGACACCAGAAGACTTAAGCCCAGGTAAGTGTCAAAGCAGGTAAAACAGACCAAAAAAATCAACTCCACAAGAAGAACAGAATGACCCTGTATTGAGCTAAGCTACAATTACACAATCTTGAAAATCTGACAGGTACTTTAAGTTTCCCACCCTACGAATCAGGGAGATCTTTGACTCAGCTGTTTTCTGGTTATTATCTTTCCCCACCCCCACCAGAGCTTCAAGAATGCCTCTTAGCCTAAATTCTTGCGTATTGCTCTCAAGGTCGCCCTTCTTATTGTCTCCAAGAAATGGTATGTTTATCATGTTTGGCATTTAGGAAGGGGGGGGAGGGATATAAAGATAACAAAAATGGTGACCCAAAGACCCATACTTTGGATTTTCTACAAAGCTTGAGATAAGTGAGGACGTTTCCTGGCTATCCTTGTTTTTCTCCCAGGAATAAAAGGCTGGAAATCAGATTAAAATCAGGCTCCAGGGACTCCACAATTATCTCTGCCTCCCTACCCCGCCCCCCAAAATCCATCTGATATTTGGTCCCATCCTAGGAAGGGAAAAAAAAACTTACCAGGGTCCCGTTTCATACTTGTACTTCACTGTTTCAGGGGTGGTAAACCTGTGACCTGAAACAGACCAAAAATGAAGATGTGAAAAGCCTGGAAATGCACCGAGGAGAGAAAAAGACGCTTCTGATGGAGGAGGAAAACAGGCCCAGAATGAGATTTGGATTTTCACTTACTGCATGTATCTGGAAGCATGCTGAAAACAATGGCTACCATGGCTTTCACTTGCCATACTCCAAAATCCTCCTCGCTTTCATCTATCCCATAGCCAATATCTGGATGGTTTCAGTTTAAGAAAAGATTGTGAAAGGATTTCTCCAGCCACAGAGATGCTTATGAACCGTGGGCCGTTCTTGAGGGGCCCAAGTGGGGCCCCATTAACATCACTATTCCATGGCCTACAGTGGCTGCCAGCTTGCTTCCAGGTGCAATTCAAGGTGTTGGTGATTGTTATGACCCGGGGTGTGTGGCACAAAAGCAACAAAGTCACAAAAATAGATAAAGTCCCTTTAATACCTCCAACTTGGCCCCCAGTGTCCATGTTATCATCGGCTGGAGAAAAAAACTTTCCCAAGAACAGTTGTTTAAAGGGAAGAAATTCAGCCCGAACCCAAAGTACATATAAATTATAAATAAAAACCAACACAAACCACGCTGCAGCAATTAACGAGACGGGGCATGATAAGGAATTGTAGACTGCAAAAGATAATGAAACACACACAGTTGGGAGGATGCCAAAACCCAGATAAGACTTGACAACCAAAGATAATGCAGGCTTTGCTTCCAGCAAGGTGCTGTGCACAAACACCCTTTTAAAAGCCTGTTTTCCCAGCTGCAGCTAATGAAGGGAATCAGGGCCCTTTTCTTCCCCGTAACCCATGCAACTCACATTGCTCCCTTCTCCGTTCCTCCCTGCATGCCCTTGGATGAAGAGGGGGTGGGCCTGATTCTTCCTCTGAATGCCCAGCCGGATTGTGCCCTTCCCGTTTCCTCCACAGCCACCGGAGCCACACTCCCACTTACTGTCAGCTGCTCGACCTTCCCCTCAGAATCAGATTCAAACAGGAGCATGACAGTGATCACCTTGAAAGCTCTTCATTGTATGGTTCCAGGTTATTTGAGAGACCATCTCATCCCCACTGGGATTGGCCTGTCCCACCTGTATCAACATAGGAGGCATACTGTGGGTCCTATCGGCCAAGAAATTCCAGTCCTCTTTCTTCCAACAGGAGCATTTTGAGAGACCTGGATTAAGACTCGATAGCGCCCATTTAGACCCCACTTCATAATTCAAAATGTCAGCTTTGAAATTCAGCTGCCACATATAATGGAAAGAGGGGTGGAGGAGTTGAAAAGTTCAAGGTTATTCTGTATGTCATACTAAGAAATTCCAGTTGCAGTTAATTAGTTCTCATGATTTATGAAGTGTAGAAGTGGGAGGAGAGAAGGTGTAACATGTAATGCATGAAAATATTTTCACTTTGGGAAATTGCCTTAGACGTACCAGATCTGTTCCTAAATAAATCAATCGGGGAGAATATGTCTCAGAGTGATTGATATCATGGGTACTTTCTGGATGCCTTACACAAAATATCCCTGGGCTAGAAAAATCAGAAATGGAGAAACTGAAGTATATTGGATATGATAGAATTGCAACTCTCAATATAAGCCCAACCAGCCTAGCCAAGGATGAAGGCCATTGGGGCTTATCATTTGACAACATCTTGAAAATCAGACATCCTACTTCACTTATGACACTTTAGAGAAAACTTTGCAAAGGATACATTCAGCCATAGATTGTATAGTTTGATCCTTCACGGGGGTTGAGCTGGGATAGCAGTCATGGAATTCTTTCCGTAGATCATAAAATGAATAAAAGCAGTCAGATAGCAGAAGATTCTGTAATGGAGGTAACATAAAAAGGAGATAATGAATATTTAGAGCCAGTTGGGATTAGTAGTTAAAGCATCAGATTAAAAATCTAGTCCTTCCTTGAGTTCTAGTCCTTCCTTGGGACTAGAAAACTGGATGGGTACCTTGTTGTTCGTTTCTGTCTCTAAACCTTTCCAATATGTTCAGATCAGCCCCTTTCAAGCTCAAAGTATTTCACATTCAAAATATTATGTGTAATCTTGTGCACATTGTGTGCAGGAGAAACAGAGGAAGGATGGTAGAACAAACAGAGGAGTGATAGATAATGATCGTTTTCAGTCAAAGGTGCTTGGGGTTAATAAAGTCTGGTTGATAAATTAAGTTTTCCTACAAATTTAGATTACAGATACCTTCCCTATCAAAATTAAGGGGTAAATGGAAGTAATTTTTCTAACTGTGTATTCAAATTTCTGTTTGTGTAAGGCTTTCTAGGTGCTTAGCTCTCCTTTCTATGATCAATCTGATCTGCCCATTAGTATTTTAGCAACTGCAATTCCTCAAATTATCAGCAAAGATAGAAACATAAACATAGAATGTTGACAAAGCTAATTTTAAACTGCAACTCCCAAGAGTTCCTGGATGGGAGAAGAAGACAAGGGGATATTAGAGAAGATTAAGACCATTGCACTAGTTAAATTAGACTAAATATAGAACCCTAACTCAATCAAAACCAGTACCACTTGAACTGATTACATTAGATGCAGATGCATCACGAATTCTTCTAGTGTTAAGAATGTGTTTGAAGACAATAACAAAGGCATTTTTCCCTATGGAAAACCCAGTCTTCAACTCAACAATTGTTTTCAACTGCAAATTAGAACGTGTATCCAAGAGTTATGCTAATCCCATTGCCTTAAAACCAGGCAGACTGGGTACAATTTGTAAAAAGCACTGCCCTTATTTATACATACTACCAATATGTCTGTCTGTGCTTGTGTAATTTTGAAAAGTTTTCAGTCTTGTTCAAATGCTACTCAGGCCTATTAGGATATCCTGGGGCTGTGAACCACACTGGAAAGTTAAAAAAAAAAACTATCTCCAGAAGAAGGAAATAGTAAACCTCAGATAGGTTGTTTCCTTGATTTATGATCTGCACAAGTTACAAGGAGTTCTTTAGGTTGACCTGAAAAAGAAATGACCTTGTCCTAGATTAGAAAAGAGACAAGTGTGGGGTTTTTTTTTTTTTTTTTTGGAGTATGTGATTTGTGTAGGATCTAAAGAACTTAAGAGTTCTTGTGTCTGATTGGGAAAATGGTAAAATATAGAGCAGCATTTCTCAACCTTGCTAGTTTGAAGATGTGTGGATTTCAACTCCCAGAATTCCCTGGCTGGGGAATTCGGGGAGCCGAAATCCTCACATCTTCAAACTGCCAAGGTTGAGAAACACCAATGTAGAGGATTTTTTTTAAAAAAAGGTTGAGCTTGAATGTTGATTTCACAAAGATGCTTTCAAAGTAAAACTTGAAGGAAGATAAAGCCTATAATTTCCAAGTTATTAAGACCATTATCTAGTTTCAGATTCGAAGGGCACCAGAATTCCCATCAGAAAATAAATTGAGCCCTGGAGTAGATCCAAGATGTTGTCCTGATTAATAGCCAGGATCCAGGGGTGGGATTCTACCAGTTCGCACTTATTTGCTAGAACCGGTTGTTAACATTCTAAGCAGTTCGGAGAATCGATTGTTAGAAGAAATTACTGGCCTAATCCTGTAAGGAAGGCAGGAAGGAAACATTCTGGTGTTGCTTACAGAAACTGCCTCTCCTTTTTTACATTTTTGGCAGGACTAGACTTCCTGTCTGTGGAAGTTCTCTGGAGTTTTTCCCCCCCTCCTTTGCTGGTACTTTGCTTGTGTGGAGTGACCATTCAAAGTTACAATGGCACTGAAAAAAGTGACTTATGACCATTTTTCACACTTACGACTGTTGCAGCATCCCTACAGTCATGAGAGGCCAGGTGAGGAGATGCGTGCCTCGATGTGAGTGATATTGAGTTGGCCACACCCAGCCAGTCACATGACCACCAAGCCATGCCCACCAACTAAGCCACACCCATAGACCCGGTTGTTAAAAAAATTGAATCCCACCCCTGCCAGGATCCCATTAATAGCTTACCTTTTTGGATGCTTCTGGGTGGAGAACTTGTCGAATAAGGAGTTGGCCATCGGTGCAGAAAATGTACGAGCTGCTTCCTAGAACCTTCAGGTCATTGGAAACCAGTTGGCTGAACTGAAAAAGGAAGGGAAAAAATATTCACACTTATAAGCCTCCAACCTAAGTTCCCATCTCACAATTTAATAGGATTGAAAATACAGGTAGTCCTTGACTTACAACAGTTCATTTATAGTGTTTAAAGATATGACGGCACTGGGGGAAAAAAGGACTTCTGGCCATTTTTCACACTTACAACTGTAGCAGCCTTCCCATGGCCATGCGATCCAAATTCAAACCCTTGACAACTGACTCACATTTACAACGGTTGCAGTGTCCTGAGTTTATAGGGAAGCCAGATTCACTTAACAACCGTGTCACAACACTTAGCAACTGTGGAGATTCACTTAATGACCATCTCAGAAGGTCTACAAGAAAGGTCGTAAGATGGGGCAAAATTCACCTGTCTCGCTTACCAACATAAATTTTGGGTTCAGTTGTGGAGGACTATATATACCCAGTTGCAATTCCTAAATTAACTCAAGACAGATCATGGGTTGCCCTCTCCCCTCTTTGGAAGAGCTTTGTAGCTCCCGCTGCCTTAAGAAAGTTCAAAACATCCTCAAAGATCCATCTCATCCTGGGAACCTTTTTTTTTGAACTATTACCATCTGGCAGACAGCACAGAATAATAAAAACAAGGACAAATAGGCTGAAAAACAGCTTCTATCCCAGGGCAGGAGCTCTTTTGAATTCTGCTGTATAGTGCAGTGTTGGTGTGGTGTCGGGGGTTTTCGGTTCAATGTGTGGAGTGTGAAGGATGTGTGTTTGTGTTTTATTTTCAATGTGCACTGAAGATGGTGTTTGATTTCACTGTATGAGGTGCAATGACAATAAAGTAAACTAAACTAAACAATGGACATTTATAAGCTAAGGCAAATAGGACAAGAAAAGGTTACCTGATATTATCTAGTTTAGTCTGGTAAAGAAATGTTCAGAAACTAAATTGAAACAAGCTTGCAGAACAAAACCTAAAACCTGAGATACAAGTATTTTTTATTCTTTCAAAGGGATCTTGTTGTCCAGTATTACATTAAGGCTTCTTTATAGATGGTAGTTTCTGGATAGAAGCAAGAAAGCCAATCAAAAAAATTTTCTTTCTTTCTTTAGCATTTCAGATATGAGCAGTTTTATTACTGCCTTGTCATCCTTACAGGTTTGACTTTAAAAATGATCTGCAGCCCTACACTGTTGGAAAAGAAAAGCCCAAATAATTCACATGCGGAAAAAAAATATCCCCTTGAAACTTGTGTACAACTTTTAAAGGGCGCCTTGCATGCCTGCCTCGTGGCAAAAGCATGGAAATTCAACAATCGACCATCCGAGAAACGATCCGAATGCCAATATTGACACAAACATAATTGGAGCCCTTGCATTTCCTTGAAGTTTATTTTGTGGGTGTGTATAGGGGTGTTATTTGAGCACAGGCTCAGAATGGAAAGTGATAAAGGAGAGGGGGGGCGGGAAATTTGCTGTATCTGAAGTGCCATTTTCATGCAACAAAACTGAATTCAGGAATAAGGTCTCTATGTTTTTTTCAAGAAATATTCATAACTAGAATTAAGGGTTTTTTTTCATCCCAAGGAGATATATTGCTTAAATAATCAACTTTGGAAGACTCTTACAGTATATTTGAATTAGGATAGAGAGCATTCAAATAGAACACAGAATAAAAGAGTTGGAAAAGACTTTGGAGGTCTTCTTATTTGAGCAGGACACCCTATAGTATTCCAGAAAAAATGGTTGTCCAATCTTTTCTGGAAACCCTTCAGTGAGGGAACACTGGGGTGGGATTCTACCGGTTTGGACTGGTTCGGGCGATCCGGATGTTAAATTTGCACCTGGTTCGCCAAAGCACTATTTGAACCAGCTGGCTGGCCCCACGCCACCCACCCGTCCCCTCCCAGAGTCCCATGCAGCCCATTTTCAATGCAGGTGAGTGCAGGGTCTGCGCGAAGGCTCTGGGAGGGGGAAAAATGGAGCTTCTGGAAGTACCAGAAGTCCAGAAACGGGCCTGTTTCCAGCTTCCGGAGAGCCTTCCAGAGCTGGGGGGAGGCTGTTTTCGCCCTCCCAGAGACCCAAGGGAAGCCTCTGGATCCTTGGGAAGGCAAGAAACGGCCCTCTCGGGAGTTCCGGTAGGCCACGCCCACCATGACCACGCCCATCCAGCAACCCAGCAGAGAACCGGTTGGGATTTTTGAATCCCACCCCTGGGGAGCAGCCACAATTTCGGGAGGCAAGCCGTTCCACGGGTCAATTGTTCTCACTGTCAGGAAAAGCTCCTTGAATCAGGATTGAACAACTGCGTAGATTCTCAGAACTTCTTTCACGACCTCTCCATGTAGAAGCAGAACAAGACCCCCAAAAACCCCTCCCATTATTTCGGTTCTCTGTATCCACTCCATGTACAGCCCTCATCCTCCGTCTAAACCGATGTCATAACTGCTGGGGATAATGAAATTTTGCACTTTGAGAACAGTCGAATGAAGGGTTACTGTAATTTGGGGAGGAAGTAAAGACACAGAATGGCTTAGCAAAATTTGTGGGAAGTAGAATTAAAACATTAGCCACTATGTCAATCTGATACAGGGCCACAGCACAGAAAATTTCTTCAAACTGAGGAAGAACATAGTCTTCTCCATCTTATTTCCATCCCATTGTTTTCTTAAAACTATTCTTTTTCACTCATGATCCTGGTTTGCACAGTATCAAACTCTGTTTAATAGTTTAGAATAGAATAACAGAGTTCAAAGGGTCCTTGGAGGTCTTCTAGTCCAGCCCCCTGCTTAGGCAGGAAACCCTACACCACTTCAGACAAATGGTTGCCCAATCTCTTCTTAAAAATTTCCAGAGTTGGAGCATTCACAACTTCTGAAGGCGAGTTGTTCCACTGATTAGTTGTTCTAACTGTCAGGAAATTTCTCCTTAGTTCTAAGTTGTTTCTCTCCTTGATTAGTTTCCACCAATTCCTTTCTTTTCCTGCCTTCAAGATGCTTTGGAGAATTGATAGGGCGAGTCTTGGGTGGGGGTTGGACTAGATGACCTACAAGGTCCCTTCCAACTCTGTTAATCTGTTAAAATTCAAACACCTTTTCTTGCAGTAAGGTTTGAGAACTACTCCCAATGTTACACATCGTATGATGTTTATTTACTAAGGCTTAGAGTTGTTTTTGACTGAAGCCAGCACCGAAGCCTTAAGCAATAAACAAGCTAACAAACCAGAAAGGAAGGGAAAAATGGTGATGTTTGCTTTTCAGTAAAACAGGATTTCATGTGTCTTATCTGCACACCTACAGGTAATCTTTGATTTATGATCACAACTGAGACCCTTGCTAAGCGAGGCAGATGTTAAGTGAGTCACGTCTCATTTTATGATCTCTTTTTTTTTGTAACCATGGTTGTTAAGTTTAGAGAATCTTGTGGGTGTTAAACAATTCCAATTCCTCCCTGGCAGAAGCTGGCATAATAAACATCAATCACCTGACCATGGGATGCTGCAAATAGACGCTTGGTTGGTTACCAGGTTTGATCACATGAGTGTGGGGATGCCACAACAGTTGTAAGTGCAATGACCAAATATAAGTCACTTTTCTCAGGGCCGATCATTAAACGAATGGTTCTAAGTCGAGGATTAAGTCCTTTGTATAAGTTAGTTACATCATTCATTTTACATCGCGGCTTCGGATGTGTTTTTAAATTATCTTCAGAAAGCCTCATGCAACAACCTCCTTTCCTTCCCTTTTTGCTACTTCCCAGATTATTCATAGAACAAACCTGCTCGGGAGGTTATATTGAAGTGGAAGCCTGCAATTTCTGATAACCAAAGCACTCAAAACAAAACCAAACAAAACAGGAAAACAGATTGCAGCGTAGAGAAGGTCATCCCAGAAACGTCTGGGTTGTAGAAAGGTCACCATCATTTTTTTGTTTTGTTTGCTGTGGTTCTACTTACTTTTAGAACTCAAAATTGTGCAATTTTGGCAGGTCTAAACGATGCAGATTTTACTGCATTGTGATGAACTGAGCGGGTTTTAGACACTAAGACCAGAAGAAGGTTTTGATGGGAGAGAAAAATGGGGCTTTATAGTGTGTGTGTGTGTGTGTGTGTGTGTGTGTGTGTGTGTGTGTGTGTGTGTGTGTGAGAAGCTTGTCTGCTCTTGAAACTCAGTAAGTAACCAAAGATCATTGAGTGAAGTTCATGGGCAAACAGAGGTTTGAATGCAAATCTGGCCCAACAATCCATTAAAAGCCTCAGTGAATTAGCATCTCACCGAGAAGAGAAGAGAAGAGAAGAGAAGAGAAGAGGAACTGGAAGGCACCTTGGAGGTCTTCTAGTCTAGCTCCCTAATCAAACAGGAGATCCTATACCATTCCAGACAAATGGCTGTCCAGTCTCTTCTTAAAAACCTCCAGTGACAGAGAGCTGACAATTTCTGGAGGCCAACTGTTCCACTGGTTAATTGTCCTCCCTGGTAGGAAGTTTCTCCTTAATTTCAGGCTGCTTCTCTCCTTGATTAATTTCCATGGATTGTTTCTTGATCTGCCTTCGGGTGCTTTGGAGAATAAGTTGACCCCCTCTTCTTTGTGGCAGCCCCTCAAATACTGGAATACTGCTATCATGTCACCCCTTAATTCTTCTTTTCTCTAGACTAGCCAAACCCAAACCCTGCAGCCATTCTTCACCTGTTTAAGTCTCCAGACCTTTGATCACCTTAGTTTCTCTTCTCTGAACTTTTTCCAAGGTCTCAGCATCTTTTTTTGTAACATGGTGACCAAAATTGGTTGCAGTAGTCCAGGTGTGGACTTACAAGGATTTTATAAAATGGTACCAGTACTTCACTTGCTGGGCCTACCTGTACAGGTAGTCCTTGACTTACAACAGTTTGTTTAATGAACCGTTCAAAATTACAACAGAAGTGAAAAAAAGTGACTTATGGCCGTTTTTCACACTTACGACTATTGCAGCATCAAGTAATCAAAATTCTTGATGCTTGGCAACTGACTCATATTTATGACGG